TTTCCCCGCCTCCGGGCAATGGCGCAGGCCGAGATCTTCATCCCCCGCCAGCCCAACCTCTTTCTCCCTGGGGATCCGAGCCTCCCGTCCTCCCTTCCACCTCCGCGCTGGAATTTGCGCACCTTCCATGTGGCGCCGAGGACGCACCCGACGACCCTGCGGACCCCACCGGCGATGACGCTCTGAGCGAACCGGAAGCTCCGGCACCTCCCGCCGGGGAGCCTCCTTCGGATCCGTTCCCCTTGGAACCGGTCCCCGAGGACCATCCGCTGTACGGCACCGAAGTGGATGGCTTGCTGGCGGACGATCGGAGCTGGATGGCACAACAGTTCCTTGCCTCCTATACGGAGGCCACCCGGCAGACTATGTAGGCCAAGTTCCTGCGTTTCCAGGCCTTTTGCGAGGCACATGCCTTGCAGCCGCTGCCCGCTCGTCGCGCCACCATCTACCGCTACATTCGGTTCCTACGTGAGGAAGGCAAGGTGTGCGTTCGTTCTTTGCCGCAGTATCTCGCGGCCATCTCCATGGTGCACCATATGTCTGGGCACCTTGGCTTTTCTGCTTTCGACCCGGTCACCCGTGTCCTCACCCGCGCATGGCGCCGGGATACGCCAGCCCCCGTGCAACATCACCGCCCTGTGCCCATCGAGGTTGTGATTCGCATCCTCGACGTGGGATTGACCACGGAGGACGGGGCCTTCCTTCGGGCGGCGTGCGCGGCGTACATCGACTATATCTTTTTCAACCGGGCGCAATCGGGCCACTTCGTTCTCGCGGAGGACATTCGGATAGCTGACGGGGTCGTTTTATTTCGGGAACGCAAATCCAAGCTGCACAAGGATGCGGCCCCTCGATTGCGTTTTCGGTCCTGGCCGACCCAAGGCGCCCCGGAGGTCATGGATCTCCTTCTTCGATGGACGGCTTTCCGCGACCGTGCCTGGGCCCAGACGGACCAAGCGCCTCGCCATTTCTACCGCCTTCCGGGCGAGGCGTCCCCCAGCTCCAAGACGGTGGCCGCTTGGTTTTCGGACTTGCTGGCCAAGCACCCGACCATCGCTCGAGAACCTTTCACGCACCATGGCCTCCGCGGCGGCGGTGCGTCTAGCTGCTTCGCTTTGGAGGTCGCCGAGCGGCGCATTCGGGACTGGGGTGGCTGGAAGTCAGACTCCATGTGGTCGTACGTGGACATTTTTCGTTTACCCACTGAGTGGGACTTTCGTTTGTTCGGGTGGATGACGATCACCGCCCGCGACCTCCACGTCTAGTTTGGGCACATTTTCTGCCCCGGAGGTGCCTCCCGTGCCCTTGGAGAGTGAATGGGCAAACTGTTAAGTACGGGGACCTCGGGTATGTGGAGTTGTTGGTGATGGACACCTTTGTTGTAATGTGTTGTCGTGTGGGGAACATGACCGGGTGGGTTCAGGAGACCGGTCAGGTGGAAATGACATTAACTATCTTGTTAATAGATTTCCACCCAGGACGACGTTGGGTGGGTTGCGCCGAGTTTCGAATCGGGGCAATCGTATTCAAACGGGTTTCTGGCCCTTCCTAGTACCTTGGGTCAGTCAAAGTACGGAGTGTCCAAGGGTCCGCCCGTTTTGGCGGCTTGGACTTGGCGGGCTTTGGCGGGGCTGAGCGGGGGCGGCTATTTAGGCTCTCCCCTCGGTCCCCCTCCTATCTTGTTTCGCACCCAACCCTCCCGCCCTAGAGAGTGGAGTTCGGTTGAGTTGAGGGAGACAACGGGAAGGAGTGGATGACAGAACGGGGAAGGGGTGACTCAGGGTTTCTGTCACGGGAGAAACGTGAAGTAAAGTAAGGGCGAAGCGAAAGGGCAAACTGTTAAGTACGGGGACCTCGGGTATGTGGAGTTGTTGGTGATGGACACCTTTGTTGTAATGTGTTGTCGTGTGGGGAACATGACCGGGTGGGTTCAGGAGACCGGTCAGGTGGAAACCCCCAAACGCCCAATCCTGACTCCTCTTCACGTGCGTGGTCCGCAACGGGAACAGTGTGACGTTCAACCGCCCCACGGGTGGCCCGTCTCCGGTTCCGTATCAAAGGTCCGTATTGGGAATGGTTTGGAAGCACCGAAGAATGGCTTGTGATTTATTGTGCACTGCTGTTTGGGGGCAGGCCGTGGCGCATTTTGAGCCCATCTTCGAGCGCCTGGGTGCCAGGCTTGGCAAGGTGCAGTGGGATTGCTGTGCTTGGATGGATCGATTTCCTCTTTTGGAATTTGCGCTCTGCAAGCGACGACGGGCCTGCAGGCATCCAAAACTGGTTTTGTCCACCATCTGTTCAGTTTATCCGCTTACCGCCCGTCTGCAACACATGCGACTGTGGTCGCAGAAAAGGGGATTCTTGTGTCTGTGCCCATGACAAGAAAAGTTCAATCAATCCAGGAAAAAAAGTGATGCACATCCCAAGATATGCCTGTGTCCATGGCAAGAACTTACGTTCCATTCAACTAGAAATTGATGCACCTTCCGGAATTGTACAGCCCCCAGCACTGCCGCCTCCCCGGTTTCCCACGCCTGTCTAACCCATTCTCGTTGAACCAGAGCGGAAATGTCACCAATGCCCTTTGGAGACCCAGGTTGCAACATTGTGGCATCTGCAACGGGGTCCAGGTAGCAAGTGCTAATTGTGTGCCTTGATCAGCTAACGAATGGTGAGCGACTGTTCCTTGCCGTGGCCTGCCCAGGGCCGTGCGACCATCCAGACACGAGGGGGCCAGAGAGGGGCACATGCGCGTCGTCAGCCTCTCTGGTGGTTGCTGCCCCACGACGACGACCACCGATAAGTGAAACAAAAACTGTGCTTCAGTCGGTCCGGCGCGACCACGTTGCACATGAGCCAAGTCCCTCGTGGTTATGTCCACCAAAGTCTGCCACCGCAGCTGCGCTCGTTTGGCCAGGATATCAAGCCTTGTGAGGTTCTTCCGCGTTAGCGAAAGACATAATTGCCGCATTGGAGGCTAGTTGTGGCCAGCTTTTTGGCGGTGCTGGATGTCGCGCGCAATGCGGTGAGTACGCATAAGAGGAACTGAACTGCATACAATGTTTCAACGAGTTCATGCCCCGGTTTTGCATGAATTCAATACAAGAGTGTGTGAATATGTGGGCGTCAGTGTGGGTACTCAAAAAGGGGCTCTTATGAGCGGGTTGCCTTCAATAGTTTGTATGCTGTTTGGGCCTGGGCTGGCACCGTGAACAGTCCCCCTTTTTGGCCATCAACGTCTACACACCTCGGGCTCGACGTGCCACAAAGTGTTTGGTCATCGGGGCTCGAGGGCATGTGAGAGCCAGGTGCACACTTTAGCAAACTTGTACTATGTTCGGTGCGACTCATGTCATCTTCAATGACTGTTTACTTTTCCTGCATAATGTTCTGTCTGAATGTATTCGGAAATTTTCATTGAAAAATACACACACCAAAATGGCGATCATCTTCTATCCATTGCGCAACTTGCCCCTCTGGTGCAAACATGAAAGGACTGTTCACGGGATTGTTGCCGTGAACGGTTTTCGTTATCAAGCCGAGCAAGCGGACTGGGCTTGTTGACCAGCATTCAACCATGACGACTTGGCCGGCACACAATCGATGGAGAGGTGAAAAGGGAGCGAAGATGAGAAATTGCCTCAATGCTACATTGGTTTTCTTTGCTAAATGCACTGTTTGATTCGATGCTGAACCAAGGACACAAAATGCTCCATTGCGGCACCCCGCTGGGGCACATCCACAAGGCAGTGCCTTGAACGCACGCAAGTTTGAGCGCCCCATGCTGTTATCTGGCTGCCATTCGCGCTCAAGTGTTTGGTAACAGTTGATGTGCTCCCCTTCTGAAGTCTGTCCATCTGAAACGTGATCATCCCTTTCGTGCCTTAATGTCAAATGTGAGTAGACACACTGGAGAGCAGACGCATGCCACAGCATTGCTGTGCATGACTTGTTGCTGAGGGATATGCCATGAAGCCACAAATGTGGCAATTCCTGAGCAAGTGCTCTAGGTCATACCTGAATCCAAGCTGGTGGCAATATGCCAGAAAAGATGCTTACGTCAGGTCGACCATGAAATCCATTTGTAACAATCCAGCAGCATAAAGACAGCAGCTCAGAAAGCTCCATCTTCTGGCACCATGCCGTGTGCTGTGCTAATGCTGAGAAAACAACGCAATGTTCTGAACATTAGGACTGTTGGCATCAAACAAGGACCAATCTCAGAGGTTCAAGTACTTGTTGAGTTGGGTTAATAATCGAGACACTCATGTCAACTCATTTTCACAACAGGCAGGTTCTCTCCTCGCATGCGCATCTCTTTCTTGCATTGCACTGCCAGAACTTCAGGTCATTCACTGGAGAAAAGAAACAAAGTTTGTTCAAGGACCCACAGCTGTGCTTGCAAACTGTACCCAGTAGGTGGAATGTTTGGGGATTGCCCTTTCTGGCAAATGCACCACTGGAGATTCTGGCATGTATTGCTGCTGCTGCTGCACAATCAGGGTCACAGCGCCATTTGCTAAGCTGGCGATCCATCATCATCTATCCAGACAATGAGACACACACAGAGCTGCTGTCGTGCTGCAATGGAAGGCCGAACGTCTTCCCTTGACATCGGTACGGACCCGGGAAACGAACAACAGCAGGCAACATCCATACATGATGTGGTCAAAAAACAACAAGCTGCAAAGCGCATCCTTTGGTGCCCAACATGGGCGGCTGCCTCTTCCTCTTCTTCCCTCAGAATGGCTTTGTGGCCAGTCAACAGCCCACAGCCTGGGGCAGCTTTCTGAGAACACTTCCCAAAGAGACTCAGCAGCTCACCACTGTGATTCAACATATCTGGAGTCAAAGATGGGGTCGAAACACAAGGCTGTTGATCCTCATTGTCTATCATGTCTGGACACATCATCCTGGCTGACATCCTCGCCCTGCTGTCAGGGGGGTGAACGCCAGCCGTATTAGAACAGTCTGAAGGGCATAAATTCGTTGGGTGACCTTCACTTGGCCATGGGGTGGTTGCACACATAGTTTATTGCGTCCTCGGTGCCACCGATCTTGTCTGCTTCGCTATCAGGGATCTCGATGCAGAACTCCTCCTCGAAGGCCATCACGACCTCTACTTGATCCAAACTGTCCAGACCCAAGTCCTTCTGGAAGCTGGAGGTAGGGTTAACCTTGGGCAGTGCAAGCATGGCCATAATTATTGGATAATCCAAGCGACAATGAATTCAGCAAAGACTGAAACTTGTAGAAGGAAGGTTTCTCTCCAGGCAGTTTGAAGATCAATGGCGCAGGGTGTGCAACCTTTGCATTGAAATATTCTTTCAAAACTGCGTCTGGCCCAAGCCTGTCCGAAGTTGGTAGCACAACGCATCGCAAGATCAAAGTTGAGGGAATGCTTCTCTTGAAACAGAGTTGCAAAGCCAGCTACGCGAGGCACACTCATTGATTCTGATTGCTTTCATGAGTCAAAGCTTCCTCACACAACAGTTCAGCGTCGTGGACCAATCCCCAGGCTTCAGGTACTGCAGCAATGGCTCCCAAATGGTGGACATGCGCCTCGGATCGCAGTCTCCCCGTCTCACTTCAAGACAGAGCAGATGCTCACTTCCCACCACTCCCGAACGTAACAGGAAACCCAACCAGTTTCTGGGCGCACGATCCGGAAAGTTCCGTCCACCCCCATTCATCCATTCCCATCAATCCCACAACACTCCCCCCTCCCATGCACCCACTTCCCTCTCCCAATTCCCAAACATCCGCGACCCCAATCATACCCCGGTCGACACCCGGCCCCTTGGGCTGTCCATCTGTGCTGCCCCTCGGGCTGACCAGCCGTGCTCGTGAACAAACTCTGCGGGTACGAACAAAGCCATACGCATGGGACCATTGCCAGACGCCGCCAGTTTATGGTGCAAGCGCTTTTGCTTTGTCTACTGACAAATGCAATCAAAAAAGATTCACACACGCGGCCCCAAACCCCCACCTTGGATTGATCCACCTTCTCGTGGTTCTTGACGACGGCGATCACGCGATCGGTGACCTCCGCCCTGCCCAGGAACGCGCCCTCCGCGATCCCCCTGGCGCCCAGCGCCCCCGCCCACCCGATGCGGTCAGGCCGACCCGGAGACAGCCGGATGCGCCTCAGGACGCCGCTCCCGATCGCCGACAGGCACCGGGGCAGCGGCATGGCTTTCCTCTCTGCCTGCCCCGACCTTTACGACCAAGATTCCAAGGATGTGTTTTTTACAGGCAAAACCGGTAGACCGCAGGGGGCGGGGGATATTTAGACGCGCTGTTAGGGCGAGGAGAAGCGGAAAGGGGGCCAGGCTGGTGGAGGCGTCCGCTGGACTGTGGCCTTGGCGCAGAGCTGCTCCTCGGCGACGGGCACTGTATGGATCGCTGGATCGCCCGGATGATGACCGTAGGTGAGACGGGCGAAGCGTCTTGGTAAGGTTTTAGGACCGTATGGAGAGCGACCACACTCGGAAAGTCGGTCACAAGCACCCCCAACCAACACGCCAGGAGGCAAAGACTTCACACCAGCAGCCATTCAAACAAGGATCTGTTTCTTTTTCTGGTGTGTCCAAGATCTATGGGTTCCGTTAACCTCAAAAAGGATAGACTCCAATTGCGTTCACAGCCACAGTTCGCATGCCATGCTCGTTAACCTAAATGAGAGGCGTCATCGGCCTGAGACAGAACTTGTGTCTCAGCTGCATCAAATTATATGTACAACCGACAGTAAGGGACTCCGAACTGATGGGCTACGGCTCCGCGCTGGAGAATTGGAAGCATCTCTGGAGACCCTCTCTCATCTCCAGAGACATATGACGACTCCACGAGACCTCGCTGTTTACCACCTCGGTGTTTCCGGCTGCTTGCAAATTGCGCCTCTCCTGACTGAATACGAAGGAGCACAGAGCGCTGCTTTCTTGGTGCCCACACCTAGAATGGCAATAGCGATGATGGAGGCAAACACCCCCATGCCACAAGAACACTGATTATGTAAGACAACAGGAACCAATTGGGTCCCCTGGTCATCGACAAGCATAGAGACTTTGTGTGGCTGGACCTCTACGGACCAAGACCTGTCCCAGGCGATGTAAGGCGCCAACAGACGGCAGACAATGCCTGCAGCAAGGGATCGCTGGGCATACCCGTCAAATTTCAGGAACAGCGTATCCTGTGGTATCCGAAGTGATGCGATTTTCTCATCATCAGTGAGCCGCCGGCGAGACACCGGTGAGGTGGGTCCAGTTGATTTGGTGAATGAGCCACGTTTCCACTTGTCTTTAATTATGCTCTTTAGTCACAACATTCCTGCCAGCACGTCAGATATTAGACGCTCAGCGCGCTGTGGGATTCAATCTGCGCATTTCACAATGGTGCAGGTTGGACTGCAAGGTTAGAAATTCATCTGACTGCTCGGTCTCCTCCTTGGCCCAGGGCTCGCAATTTCTTATCAGAATCTTGCTCTCACATAAGATGCACACTCATGGGGTCATCTGCAAGTCGTCGAACCTGAGGCACAACGCGCCTTCGCACTGGTGTTCGTCAACATCGGGCGTCCGGTTGGTCCTAAAATTCCACCAGTGTCTGCTCGTCATGCAGCACTGGTCCCACGCCATCCGCTCAAGCATACAAGGACTCACAATACAAAAGCCAGAGCACTTCCAAGGGATGTTGCACCAGAAGGAGGCACAAAGCAAAGGCCAATCTCACAGCAGTGCCCAATTCGCGGCTCCATGGTCGATCCTTTCCAGCCGTAAAAAGCAGCGGCGCGATGCGCTGCTTCAGGATGAACAGCACTTCCAACCACAGAGCGCATACGGATCCGTATGCAGCTCTGGAGTCGCGGATTCCAAATCTGCCGCTTCAAAATTTGCCGCAGATTGGGATTTCGTTCGTTGCCAGCGGGCTCTTGGACGCCCCCTGAAACTGAAGATTAAACGCCGAGGCCAAATTCTACATCCGACAAGGACATCCCCGCTCTGTCGACTTCGGGCGATCGGGTCCCTGTACTGGCAAGCCTAGCGGACGACAGCATGTCGATTGGCACATGGAACGAGGGGAAGCGTGGATTGGGGAGAAACGGCTGTGGGTGAGGACGTGTTCTGACATGGATTGCAGCGGGAAGCCCATCTGCTCATACGCAGCAGCTCGAGCAGTACTCGAACAAGAGGGTGTCGTTGATCGCCCGTCCCAAGTTTCGGACAGGGAGACTGGGCGCACCGGCTGGTGACTGGGTTGCCCTCCGAGAGCCGCAGACGAAGCTGCTGTGCAGATTTCTGCCCGCGTTCGCATTAGTCTGCATTGCCATCGACATTTCTACAAGTACGGTTACCGCCCTCCTCGCCGTCTCGCTAGCCACCACGCGAAGCGCCGCCAGTGAACACCGCACGCTGCAAGAAATACAGCACTTGAGCTGTGGGGATGGCGACTGTCGCCGTCGGCAGGCCCTCGCCAGTCGTCCCGCTCCCCATCCCGCCACCTGTCTGAAGATTGCTACTCTCCCTCCCACCTCCCATCCATCCCTTACCCTCCACCCCTGTTCACCCCGTTGCATCATTCCCGTCACGGGGCTCTCTCCATGCTGGCAGCTCTCACAATCCCAAACACCGACTACCCCCTTGACCAAATCGAAAGAATTTTATTCCGACCCGACCATCCAGCCCACTGCGCACATCCTCCCCCAACAGTCCAAGGGCCCCCAGCAGCCTGCCGCGCATGTGTTGACAATTTCAGAATCTGGGGCCGATGAGAAACTGGGTTACCTGAGAATTCCCCCCAGAGGGTGGGCTGCTGCCTGTGGGCACGGGGCCTGTCTTCACTCACATTTAATGGCCCTGGACAGGGGGAGCGGACACCGTCAGCACTGCGCTCATTCGCAAAGAAAACTGCCAAGAACTAGCCCGGATACAGACAACAAAATAGAGCAGTGACAGCACTTAGCAAGGAACGCAAGAACAAACCATATATATATATATATGTGTGTGTGTGTGTGTGTGTGTGTGTGTGTGTCATTTCCCAATTGATGACCGCAACCACCGACTCTAACTGTCCCCGTTTTACTTTTCTGCGGCAGCAGCTAACCAGTGAGATCCGTCACTTGACACATGGCACTGGTGATTGGGATTGGGCTTATCTTTCCGGACTGGGACGACCTTACCTGGCTCGCTTTTTGAGGGCTGTCCGACGGGCATAGTTGAGAGAGGATTATGTTTATATTGACATGGTGATGACCGTTGCTGGAAGTCAGATAGGGCAACAAACCGGGGATCTTATGGGATAGTTGGGACACTCTGAAACACTTTGGGACATTTTGGGACATTTCGGGACACATTGGGACACATTCTGGGACATTTGGGACATGACCTGATACACTCTCCCTCTTGCCGAACACTTTGCCGAACTGCTTGGGACTCCCCTGCAGGAACATTCTGGCCTTCACAAACAATGCTATCTCTTGCTTTTCTTTGTTTAGGATCCTACATCGGTTCCTGCTGGCAAAGGATCCTACTGCACAGTGAGCGTTGCAGGGGAGTTCCCTCGTTTTTATGCGGCATTTGAATTAAAATATATATATATATATGGCTAGTTATTTATATTTATATATTTATATATTTATATATATATATGTTATATTTATTTATTTATTTATTTTTAATTCCCAAAATGTATATATATATATATATAATAACTAGCAAACTGAATAATTAAATTCGACGTAGCACGAAAGGCTCGTCCTGCGGTCATGGCCAGAGCTGTCATTGGTCGGGTTAGCTCACGGTAGCATGGGTTAGGGCAGGTTTTGCCAGCAGCAACGCTTTGTCGAATGCGTATTGCACATTTTGGCAACGCAACAGCGCCAAACTCGAAACCGAATTGCGCGCCCCGCCCTCTCGAAAACGACCAACGAACAGCCACCGGCGGGCCCCCCGCCCACCTGTATATATGCCTGATGAACATTAGCGACGCCCGGAATCCCACGCTGCCCAACATTAGGAAGAAGGCGTAGCACACCACGCCCATGTACCCGAAGAAGAAGGACGTCTGCATGAAGCCCGACATGGTGGAGCGCTCGAAGTAGAAGTAGAAGCAGTACGCGAAGATGAAGAGGCCCGTGGAGCCGCCACACAGGAAGGAGCGCCACCACCAGCGGTGGTCCTCCACGGCCAGCTGGAAGTAGGTGAGGGCGACGGTGATGAAGGCCGTCACGATCACCAGGATGACGAAGACGATGGAGAGGATGCTCCAGATGACGTACAGCTGCGGGGGCGCGTGCACTCGTGAATCATGGCGCCAAAAAGCACGCTCGTGCTTGTTTGGGTTCGCCCACTTTCGCACCATTTAGCGTCACGGTTGCGGAAGTTTAACACCCCTTCATGCCATGTGGGGCAGCCCGATACTGCACAGAGTTGAGCCTTGCGCCAGCATTTGACAAGAAATGATGTTTTCAGCCAGTTTAAATCTGACTTATGCTGATTTGAGCAATCTTGGTGGTTAAATTCATTGATACAACACAGTTTGGATACCGCCAGGAGCTATGCAAAATGGGCAAGCTGTTGCGGGTGGCAGAATTTGGGGCAAAAGCGGCGCCAGCGGTAATTTAATGAATCTGCGATCTGGGTACAACGAAAGTATTTCCGTTATCAAATGCTAAATCCGTTAAAGTAATTAGAATAAAAAAGCATTCGGCAGTGACAAGCCAGGGCGCAAACGGCATTTCAGCTCTGAGATCCCCCTCTAGAGGAGGGCTAATGAAATCAGCTGCTTGCAAGTTCACCGGTGACAAGCAGGAGGCCCTTGTGCCCTGGGAGACGCCAGAATCAACTGATCACAGCAAACAAACGCTCAGGCTTGGTTTTTACGTTTACGTTTACGTTTTTACTTTTACGTTTTTACGCGTAAAAACGTAAATTTGCAAAAGACCCTATTTTTACGGCTATTTTTACGTTTTTACGGCTCCCTTGGACGCCCAGATTACGTGATGAAAGTTGCGTACAATGGTCAGTCCTCCGCCATATCCAGCACCCGCAACACAGTGTCCACCTCGCCCTTGGCAAGGGCGATGATAGTGTTTGACAAAAACTCGTTTTCTGCCCCTTCCAGGGCGTCTGGCTGCCACTCTCCGGACTCCGTAAGTTCGTATGTACTGTCCTTATGTACACCGGGCAGTTTTTACGTTGTATTTACGTATTTTTACGCATTTTTACGCGTAAAAACGTAAAAACTGTTTTTACGCGTAAAAACGTAAATACGATCAGTTTTTACGGCGTAAAAACCAAGCCTGCAAACGCTCCACCTTCTTGGGCCCGCCTCCCTGCGTCTCATCGCAGATGTGTGTCACGAGATGACACATATCTAAGATGCAAGATCTCAGACGTCTAAGATCTCTGGTCTCAGTGATCTCTGGTCCAACGTCTCAGGTCGTGTCCAGGCCAAAGCACCAGCTTGATGGAGCTGCAAGGTGTTCGACGCCAGCTAGTCACACATGCTCTCGCTCCGGTTGCTGGTTTCACTTCATCAAGGGATGCAGCGGCAACCCAGCACCATGCCAAAATATGTTCAGCCAACAATGGCAATTTTGCTCCTTCCCCAAACCATGATGTGATATCTTTCCACTATAAAGGCAACGAGTTGGGCACCACAGAACAGTCAGGTCCATCTAAGCCCACCTTATGGCCCCAAATGCTTGAGAAGATGTAGTACAACTCGATGTAAATGGCACTGAAGGGCAGGAACCCAGCCATTCCCATCTGCGCTAGCGTCTGGCGGTACCAAGGTAGGGGAGGGATCTCTCTTGGGTACTTCGTCGTCCGTGTTGTTGCGCAGAACTCTGTCTTGGAGTTCTTGCCAGCAATGCCGCCAATAACTGTCAGCGGAAATGTGACAAGTGCCCATATCACCAGTATGACGCATATGGTGCCAAAAGGCAGGGCCTGTGCACAGCCACAACCAGATAGCCCTTTCAGAAAAGAAGCATGTCATGGGATGGAGGCCTTACCAAAATTTCAGCCAAACACCTTTCTTACTCAGCACATTGTGCATGCCATTCGGGGTGCAACAGGTGCAGCATGCAGCACACAGCAAGGTTGACATCATCAGCCTTTCTTCCGGCTCTCTCAAAGCCAAAACCCCTTGCTGCCTTACAGGTGTCTGGCCAACGTTCTGACCAACGTGGAATAAGTGCAATCAGAGCAAAGTTCATAACAAAGGCGAATATGTGCACCTGAGTAGAGCCATAGGCGATGGCAACAGTGTTGAGAAATGAGAAGAGGCACAGCAGGGGTCCCATGAAGAGGGCACAGGTGAGGACAATATTGGACACCCAACTGGCGCCACCCATCGTCTTGTACCATGATGCTGCGACATATCCGGCGATGCCAGACGTCAGAGCATACAGCACCTGCACCAGAAGCAGCACATATGTCAAACTTGTGGTAGGTAGGCACTCACATTTGATGCACTTTCAGGTCGCTCTCCAGGTGAACTGCAAATGTGCCATTTGTTATCCGAGATGCACACTTGCTTGGTGGAACATGGGATCCGGATAACGGCAGTTTGCGATGATGGTCATATCTGCTCCAAAGCTTTCTTCAAGTATGAATACTCTCGCTCGTAATGTCCAATGGACAGATGGACATCAGCCACTGCATCGTTATCTGGACAGGTAAGCAATGTTGGCAAACCTGACAGTACTGGCATTGGCTGCAGTCATGGTGCAGTTGCCCTACCATGCAGACCTGTTGTCTGGTCACAACTGTCCACGTGACAAAAATGGGGCTCTGCCAACTGTCCCAGAATATTTGGACCACAGTACATGAAGCTGTCAATGCTCAGGTGACAATGTACACCTCTCAAACCCAATGATTTCATTATACAGCGTTTCGACTTGCCATCTTTAATATTCTTGCCTACATTTGCAAATCAATCTAAAATTACAAACATTCTGGGGCAGTTTTGGCAACAGGGCAATTGAGCCTGAAAGACCGAAATCAGCAATTATTCTTCAAATATTAGCAATTCATCCAATGTTTGGACACTCATTGAAGCGATCAGTACAAAATGCCCCACAGCACACCAGAGATTCCCATCCCATCGAATTCAACAAACCTTTGAAACAATTAAAAACATGTCACAGCTAACATTGCTCTGATGCCTGCATTTCACAAGACATTTCCTTTCCTGCTCACCACGCATGCTGTTAGCAGAGCACCCCTGTTGTATGGGTAGAACACATCAAAGACGGCCAGCATGAATATGAAGAATGCAATCACTAAGAACTGGGTGCCCGTCCCCAGCATAGCGCAGAACAGGGACAGTGGCCTAGGGAAACGGAACACGTCGCCATGCAGGTACTTCCATCCACTTTCTTCTTGCTCCTCGCCCATTTCGTCATCTCTGGTGTACTTCATGAAGTCGTTCTTGAGGACTCGCATCAGAATTGTGGCCAGGAAGCCGGTGAGCAGCAGGACTGTGACACATGAGTTGATGATGGAGAACCAGTGGATCTGCAGGAGCAGCAGTGAACCTTGTGGAAATGTCGATTCCTATTGTATTCTATAGCATGCACAAGCGATCAAGGGGTAAAGGGCAAATACAATGGAAGCGATATTGTCTCTTATCATTCTCCACTGTCTTATAACAAATGCATCAAACACATGACTGCACATGCATTACGATGGGTATGTCCATAGTGACAGCCAGCGGGTAAAGGCTCTACGTACCCCTTTGAGACCCCTTTGGAAAGAAGCCGCCTACAGAAGTTGAATGTACACAGTTCTGTGCTCCAACGCTGACTCTGAATAGTGAATTTTGCCAGAAAAGCCACATCATTCTCAACTGCCAAATGCAAAAAGTGGCGACTGTTCCACTGCAACTCTTCCTTGGAAAGTGCTTGTAGACTGCTCGTACTGTTGCAGAAAGAACAACACATACGGACAGGATCCAAGGTGATAATGATTTTCCTCAATTGGACATGTTGTAAAGACATGGAACTTCAGCAGTTCACAGAATAATGCAAATGGAGATCCGCAATGCACCTGTACATGGCCTTTGTGACAAAATTTGTGCCCACCGTGACCTATGCCGAATCGGCAAAACAAGCCCACGTGCCTCTAAACAACAGTAACTGAAACAAATGAGTTCGTCCTTGCCATCAAGGCTGTTCCTTGCACTCAAACCTGCTGTAGTAGAACAAGTCCCATAATATTGATACATTAACCAAGAAGGCCTGCGCCAGCCTGCTATGAAATCATGTTCCTCACCTCCAGATGCTCTGGCACAACTGAATACCTCGAGTACTTCTCTAACCGATGGTCGAAAGTCACATCCGTCGGGTTCCATTTCACAGAATACGTGAATGGGAATGATGCACGTCCAAGGTTGGTTATTTCCCTAGCCGTGTTGGGATCTGTGGACACGTTGACACCAATCACCCTGTCCTCGTTGTAGTCAATGTCGAAGTGAGTGTGGGTGTAGAGGTAGTACTTTGTGTCAGGTGTTGTCTCCGACTTCCCAAACAGGCCCCAGATTGGCAAGTCATCAAAAAACATCTGTGCACAGGCAGGCAAACCGTTGCATCAGCACCAGTCTTCTGCATGACCATTCTGCAAGGCCACATCAGTTTGTTGGATTCTCATGCTGTCTCAGTTGTTCAGCAGCAATATGGTGCAACATGGTCATCTGAAACTGCCTCATTTTGTGACTGAATACATAAATCTTATATCTAGTAATCTTTCACAAATGCATATGTCCAAGGTTGGAATGTTGAAATTACACATGCAATCCACGTTCAGCGCTTTTCTCATACAACGGATAATTCTAAGTCCACCACAGAATGTCGGCTTCCCAAAGACAGGCACTATGCCCATGTGCAAGTGCAGGTTCCCTCATTATTCAGAATTTCCTCTTAACACTAAACAGCCCAACATTCCTGGACAAACAATGTCGATGGAGCTGTGCCCATCATCGTCATGCACATGCGCATGCAGTGCATTCCCAAGATGAAATGGATTGAAGGTGTGGTCCAAAGCACTGGATTGGTGCTTCTATCCATATGTCCACATACAGTTGCCAAGGACCGTATGGTCAGGGCAGAAGGGTGTCACAAAATTTGTGCATCAGATCATACAGCTATGCGGTGCATTGGATTGTGTTGACAAGATAGAATTCCGTGCAGTTTGGCACAATTATCTGCACTTGTACCTGCGCCTTTCTTGTACATTTCATACATATTTCAAGATGTTGAAGCTGTCAAAGCATTAAATCATGTGCAGGTGAGCTTGCTGCATTTCAGTCATTCTGTAAGAGCCACAGGGCAATTCAATAATATCCCACTGCCAAGTGAATAAAGGGAGGGAGAAAAAATTGTTGCATAAAACAAATGGCAGGAGACACAAGGAAACACAGACAGGATTTGTTTGCTTGAGGTTTCATGCCCATTTCCAATCTCCTGCCAACGTAGATGCAAAAGTGCACATCAACACCTTGCAATCTGTCACAGCACTGTGCTGCCAAGCAAAACATGCACCCAAAACTGGCTTACCACCATGGATAGAGTGGGGCCATCCTTGGGTGCTGCGCACTATCAGACAATGGGCCAGGGCTGTGGGAGAAAATTCCTCTTGCTGAAAGCTATGTGCAACAACTGTGTGCCCAAGGAGTGACCATACTATCCCCCACTTAGTCCCAAAACTTCCCAAATCAAATCGAAGCTTGATCTGTTCTGTGGCAATAACAATTCGGAGAATAATTGCAAAGAAACAAATATGAAAAATACATATTTCCCCACAACTTAGCAGCTACAATTTAAGAAAAGTGCTGGGCATAAGTGCCACTGTTGCCTTCTCCTAACACCTTCACAGCTGTGGTCTCAGTACTGCTGCAAACTACTGGGCACAGTCAAAGTGTCAAGGCCACATTTCCCTGGCAAATGTGGTTCAGTGAAGTAGCAGTCCCTGCCCCACCTGGTAATAGTAGTCCTCTTTTACAGCCTTACGGAACTTGGCCACATCTTCCTCCAACACATCTTTCTGGCACAGCTCCTCTTCCGGCATGTCCACCCTGAACTGTATGTTGTACTGGGTGGTCACCAGCCTGTCGCCCTCCAACACCTCCCCAAGGTCTTCTGGTTTGAAGACACGCTTGTCGCTAGGTGGTGGGCAGAAAGCAAAACTGTAGTACTGGTAGGTCTCGCTGCAGTGGAGAGCAGCACAGAATGGCTAATTAATGACTGATTAATGGCTGACTGACCGAACTCCTATTTCAAGCATCAAATAGTGCATCACATTCAAGAGTCCAGGTGCAATTGGCTTTGCATATATTTTCCTTAAGTATTTACTTATTAATTTACGTACAGAAATCTTTACTTGTCCATGCATTCTTCTCATTAATATATTTTTCTCATCTTTTCAGTAGTTCTGCTAAAGTTTTTTGAGGCATGGTGAATCGCTGCTCTGGCAGCCACAGGTGTGCTGATATGCTTTGCTTCCATTCGCACCCAGTGATTGGAACAGCTGGAAATTCGAACTGGTGACCACACATTCGACTCAACGCAATGTCACACAAGTGGTGTTCTGTTGCCATGTCCAGGATTCTATGCAAGCAATTGGGGAAATGTTAAAAAGCTGGCATCCACCCCCCCAGCAAGAACATAGTCTTTAAATCATCTTGTCTGCAAAACATCACTTTTTGTATCAACTTCTGACAAAAAAACACTCGTATCCAAATTATGACCCGTGACATACAGCTCGCAACAATACAGATCTGTTCCAAGGTTGTTGTCTGCGTGGAAACATGCCTTCAGAATTCTGACCAATGAGCGAGTGGGATACAGGCATACATTTTGGTTGTGCAGGTGCTATGCATCGTCTCCTTGTGCAATGTTGCTGTGGGTCTTAAGCACACAAATGCCATCCAAAAAGAATTCAAAGTTGTCCTGGCCCTTGTTCGTTCCTTGCGCTGATCATATGCGGTTCGCGATGCACAACAGGAAGCATCGCTCAATCGAGCGCTCAGTAATTGCCAAGCAGAGAAAAAGAATGCATTGGGCGCAGTTGACATGCTGCCAAGCAGGCGTCCAATAATATATCTTGCACTGCACAAAGCCACAAAGCTCTCCGAATGGTAGAGACAATCGCGCCACAACGAAAGTTGGCCCAAAACACTGTCGATAATCGCCCAATTCACACAGATTCTGTCTCTGTTTACACAGAGGTGTCAAATTACGAAACACAACGCATCACCGGTGTGCACCATGTTTTCTGGGGAGCAAGTCGTCTGGTCTCGACCCTGTTTCTTGCCCCACATTCCGCTTTTTCTGTCAAAGGCAATCTTGCACAGAGGATTTCAGCGCCGTTTTTCACTGTCCCAACGCCCGAAGAGCGGTCGCCGCTTACGGGACTCCGCAGGAAAAGCGTTCCCATCCACTCTGGGGCTGCATCACAAGAGGATGGCACCCATCTCCAATCCATTCCCCGCTCCCCTCCCTTTGTCTCAAAGCGGCGCAGCCCACTGTCGACGCCTGGCGCCCCTGACCGTGGCGTCCATCGGGGCTGGACCGGCCTGATCTCTTTCTCGCTCACCTTGGATTGTAGTACGGGCCGACCTTGTTGGCAAACATCTCGATCTTCTCCCCCACCGCGTATCTGTGGTTCCCCGGCCCCTTGAGGGTGCGCAGCTGGTGATCAGGCGCGGCTGCGCTCGCCATCAGCTGGATGGCCAGTAACAGCAACGCGCCAAGGGAGGCCTGCCCAGCCGATCTTGGCGCCATTTGGGGCGCAGGGAGAGAGGGATGCGGATCGGCTTGGGGGCGAGCAGGTGGATAGGATAGGATGCAGGGTAGAGGGGCTTCGTGGGGGTGCGAGGGCAGCGCGGAGCGGCACTTGTGGCTTTGTCGGTCGGGGTTCCCAGCAGCGGGCGGGTCTGGGTCGGGTGTTGGTCGTTTTCTGCTTTTTTCTGCATTTTGCCTGCATTTTCTGTTTTTTCTCCCTTTCTGTTTTTTAAAGCTTGGCCCTTGGGAACTTTCATGTGGAGGAGGCAATTCCGCAAACGAAGGTGTTGGTGCCCACTGAGGAGCCGTTAGAATTTTCCATTGTTCGCTTCTTGAACAGCCAATGTGTTGCACATTATGTGTATTCACTTGGCGTCTCCGTTATCTGTTTGTTCCCTAAGAATTTATTATGGTTGCTTCACACCTGGGACAGATTGCGAAGAAGCAAGTTCACCTCAGGAGGTGATGCTGATGATTGTTGCACATTACTCTAGAAATTAGTTTTGTTTGACAATGCGTTCATGCTAAATGGCACACATTGTCTCTGATTTTGTGAGGATCAGAAACATTTCCGTGGTTTTCAGAGACGAAATTACCATTTTAATCAACTCATCCTATTTAAAATTTTAGATCTTCGTGCTCTGTCTTGCTTGACATTCTCATACCCTGAGTATTAAAGTTTTGGGATTTCTGCTCGATGCCGCAGTGCTCCACTGCAGCACAGCCGCCTTGAGGCGAAAGCGTTGCAATATGTATTGCATTGCGCAGACGATCGGCTGCAGATCTACAACCGCTCCCAGATTTGCACATTCTGTTGCTTTTTTCTCATGTGATAATCGATATATATATATATATATATATATATATATATATATATATATCTGCTATATACTATATATATATATATATGTATATGTATATATATTATATCCAACCAAGGATAAGATGCCTTATGAGCTTGCGCTTCGCCATTGCCATGTGTTGCAGCGTCAACCACGCTTTGGGTAGCCGCAGAAGGGGCCAACCGTTTGTGGACAGATTCGGCCATCCTTGACCGTGATCAGGATTGTTATCTACGCCTCAGGAAATGTTAATATTCACGTTTTTCCTTAAAACAATTTGTTAACGTTTGTACCGCACAAACGTGATGCGTAACGCATCAATAAGCGTAAGAATACAGACGTACATACAGCCCCGCGTCCATAATACAGTACATATAGAGTTAAATAGTCCAAGGAATGACTGCCAGACGCATTGGAGTGTGCAGAGCAGGCTTGGTTTTTACGTTTACGTTTAAGTTTTTACTTTTACGTTTTTACGCGTAAAAACGTAGACTTGCAAAAGGGCCTATTTTTACGTTTTTACGGCTCCCTGGCACACTTAGGTTACACGATGAAAGTTGCGTACAATGATCCTCCACCATCTCCAGCCTCCGAAACATATTGTCCACCTCGCCCTTGGCAAGCGCGATAATGGCGTTTAACAAAAACTCGTCTTCTACGTCTTTCAAGGGGTCTGGCTGCCACTCTCCCCACTCTGTAAATTTGTATGTACTGTCCTTATGTACACCAGGCAGTTTTTGCGTGGTATTTACGTATTTTTACGCAATTTTACGCGTAAAAACGTAAAAATATTCTTACTCGTAAAAACGTAAAAATATTTTTACTCGTAAAAACGTAAATACGATCAGTTTTTATGGCGTAAAAGCCAAGCCTGGTGCAGAGACGTCTTCATGAGTAGAAAACATAACCGTAAAAACGTGAACGTAGACGTAAGACCAAGCCTGATGGTCGCGGTTGGGCTGGTGTAATTACAGTTTGCCAAGAAGAAGTACATACGCCGCCGTCGTTTCAAACACGCAGGTTTGCGCACACCGTACCATATTCACATAGTAACGTAACATAGTAACATAATGGATATAAAGTAACATAATGGATATCTATTAAAATAATACATAGTAACGTAATTGTTGGCATTTTTATCCAGAGAAAACAATAAATATCGTCTTTTTTGAAATACTTTAAAGTTTTGTGGAGCAAGGTTAAAAGAATGTAGGGCAAAAATCGTAACTGTAACATTGAACTCTTTAATTTAATGGTGAAAGGTCGAACATACTACGGTACCCGAACTGTCGCACATTGTTTGCTCGCCGTGCCCTCAACACTGCAGGCTGCAGGCGGCCGTTTGTTTGCACAGATCGTTGGCATCGCCTTGAGTGTGGAAGACGCAGCACTACAGCATTTCGGCTTTGTCTCTTCAACTGCCGGCTTCGCCTCGCTGTCCCTTGTCATTTTTTCTCGTAGTGAGCCTTCGCACCATAGAGACCACATTGACGCCAGGGCAATTGGCTCTAGGACAGACCAAGATATGTGCAGTGTGATCAGAAGAACTGGAAGATTCAATAGCTTCCGGTCAGGCGAGGCAAACTGCACCGGCGGCTGCCACACCTGTGGTCCCGCAGCATCGAAAGTGCCCCTGTGAAGGATCCTCCAGTGTCCTTCGTCGGAACGGTGGATTGCAGCATCCAAAGTCCTACAACTCTGCCGTGATTTAATTCGCGCTAAAGCCATCAAACAGGTCCCATTACAAAGCAGCACGCACCGTGTCCAATGCACCCTTCCGTCGCGGAGGCCGCCCGTGCCTGCCTCCTGCCTTTCGGGAGCAGGGCGCCTGCAAGCAGTAGCACGGGGTCCAGTGGCGCCCTGGCTGGCTTCCAGGCACCGGGAGGCCATCCTGGGGAAGGCGTGTGAAGCACAGACCGCTGACCATGCATGCATCAGCAAGCATGAGGGCGTGCACGTGCGATGAGAGCGGACCAGCGACACCCGTCATTGCGCTGCAGAAAGAAGCGGCGCCAGTGCTGTTTGTTGCGTCGGGATTGGGCAGGGGATGGCCAGGTATTCGGTCGTGGGATTGGACGGTCAGGAACCTCGGTGGTCATGTCGGTGATCGCCGTTGCGGCGCATTGACGGGAAACGAAAGATCGGACACGCAGGCGATAGTGTCGCCGGTGGGGCCCGTCGACCTGGCTCCGCGGCTGTGCACCAGAGTTGGCGTCACGCGTGCCACTCCCGTGTCGCTGTCATTTCGCGTCGTGGACGCTGGCTGGGCCCCGTACTGCGCAGCATTGGTTCGCCGTTTTGACCTTGAGCGTAAGTTGCCATTGCCATCGGGGCGTTGGTTGGGGTGTGGGGGCGGGCAGGGGTGTAAATTTGCATAGAACTGTCGTTGCCGCATCCGAGAAGCCAGCGAGCGCTGCGGCCAAGGTGCATGGGCGAGCAAGGAGAGGCCAGCGATCAGAAAATTCGGCAACCAGCTCATCCGATATTAGTCCTGACCTCTTGGTAACTTTTTAGAAAATGCTTTATATAAATAGGGAAAATATTTGTAAAAATTTTATTAAAAATAAATTAAGGTGAGTTTAGTGACTGTTGCCAAGGGTCCACTAGTCTAAAAATGGGATGATGGGCAGCAACATGGGGGATGCTGTGGAGGTTTGTCAAAGCTAACAGCAAGCATGTGAAGCCTTCACAAGATATGAGATGGTCAGGGGCAAGCAAAGACCTATTGCGCGTTGTAAATGCTGTATTCTCGGCAACAAATGTATGATCTTGCTGACCAAAACATGAGTAAGAGGTTGGCAATATTTACTGAAGTGGGTGGCGAAGTCAGGGAAAAAGTATTCACACAATTGTTGGACTAAATCACATCCCAGAGAGGTGGTGAATCATAAGCTTCGGAAGTTGGGCAATGCTTGGCCTCTGAAAAAGCTGCGTATCGTAAATAATTCAGATGCGAACACAAAATCTCCGACTTGCAACGTTTTGCAAGCTCATTCATTGTCCTGTTGGCGTGCGACTGTGGACGCAAAGGCATTGTGGACATAAACCTATTCATATGCTCATTTACATTTCCAGCACAAAGTATGCACGTTGCGCCCCCATAGCCAAACGCTGTGTTTAAACCGAAATGCATATGTTGGCTAATGTGTTGGAATCCTCTTAGTTTCGTTTCCCGGGCTCGCGCCAAAGCACAGAGACAATGGCAAGCTGTGGGGCAGTGCGCGCAGAGGCGCGCCACTCGCTTGCTGTCGAGGGAGTGATCCGGGGGACCGCCACCCTGCGAGAGCACGGGAGTTTAGAGGACAAACACGCCATTGCTGTTATGCCGCAACGATATTCTTTTGCAAGTCAGCGATGCAGCAATTCCATGTGCTACCTGGTCTCACGCCACAATTCCTTCATCACTCATCAATTTATCTATATTCGAACTCAAATCGAAATGCTTATTTCTACCTCGTTCACCCAAGAGTATTCCTTCAAATCTTCCCTCAAATAAATTCTTCCTTTACATTGTCTCACCTCAATATTCTTCCATGTATTTTCGTCGCCTTCCTACCGTTCACATTTCATCACTTGTTATTTAATTTAGTGATTGTCTGTTTTTTTCCAGATGTGGAAACCAAATACACAATTTCAGATTTCAGATCACAGTCCTTCGCAACGATTGCAGAAATTTGTTGCAGGCTTTAAACTCAGCTCCAGGCACGCACAGGTCACCCTCACGAGGGTTGTGGCGATCACCACCGCGTTCATCTCCTCTTGAAAACCAGGCAATGTGGACAGCGACCCAAGGCCTGGGGTCTTTGATGATGGGGAGAATGGCAAATGACAGGTACTGAACTTAGCACATACCAAGGTCACATATTTCTGACTATGTGATAGAAGAATAGGGCTTTTAAAGAGCGGCTCCTATCGGAAGTGGCATCCTCATCCCCCACCCTCGTGAGGCAGGGGCGTCAAAAAATCCAGGTGAAAGGATTGCCTGTAGACAACCCTGTCGCCACCTGGATTGCGATGCGCATAGCTCAACTGGAATGCAGATAATGGCATGGATCCTGCAAAATTGGATTGAATCCCTGTCGATACGCCAGATCTTTCTTGCGTACTATTATGCATGTTGTTGCGCAGCCTATTTTTTATTCCCCATGCCCCACAGGAAAGAATTACCCAACACAGGAAGAATGCGGTGGTATTTTAGTTGCTATGATTGCCGAAGGCCTTGCGCTGCAAAATCCAAACATTGCCACAAGCGATCAGCTCCTGCGATTCACGCTTGCGAGCCACACTTGCGGTGCCGCCGCTCACTCCCAGAGCACGCCCTCGTTGAAGCGCGTGCCGCTTTCTCCTTACTGAATACGCCGTGGGCAATTGGAGCTCCTCGCATTGGAGTTTTGTTATTGAAATGGCGTCGAGCGGCTCCACGCTATTCCTTTGCCGCGAATCTGCCACCCACGATAGTCACAGCTGCTGTGCAGGTCGCACATGAACCTTGTCACCAACAGACGCTCATCGATATTCAACACGTTAAATTCAGTGACGTGCGCACGCCAATGGCACCTCCGACTCTCCTATTTCTGGCTTGATCCCCAGACGGCTGCCTTCTCGTCGTAACCTGCACGGCAACTCCATCGACCTGTGTGCACAGCTTCATCGATTGAACACGCGAACTCACATACACTATCAATCGCCAGCCGGTTCAAAATTCTTCGTCGAATCCCTTTCGAAGCCCCTCTTTTCCCGCCACCTGGGCTCCACAAATCGCCATGCAATCTCCAATACTCAGCTCCTCCGCAGACGCATACTTCTGCCCATATCTCAGCAGCCGCCTCCCGACCCGACCCCTCCCCCCCCAAAAAAAAGAAAAAGAAAAAAAACCCTCCTGCGTCGGAAAAAAGTTGCATATCCTGGATATACATATCCAGGATATGGCCATATCCAAGGATATGGCCTCCATATCCTGGGATATGCTGGCCATATCCAGGATATGCATATCCAGGATATGGCCATATCCCTTCATATCCCTGGATATGGCGGCCATATCCTGGATATGCATATCCGGGATATGGCCATATCCCAGGATATGGGCTCCCATATCCTGGGATATGGCCATATCCTCGCCCTTATCCTCACCATATCCGCGATATGGGCGCCCATATCCCAGGATATGGCCATATCCTCGCCCTTATCCTCACCATATCCTGCGATATGGGCGTCCATATCCTGGATATGGAGCCACAGTATGTTCGGGGACAAACCCGAATGGGGATGGTCGCGTTGAATTCCGTTTTCTTCCCGCACTCTTGGGGGAGCACGCGAACCCCGGGCGTCTTGCGTGTACGTGCGGCGTTGCCTGCGCGGGAAAGCGAAGAAGACCGACGACGCAGCAATGCGGGGGTTCCCGCCGTGCGTCTCTTAGACCCCCGAGGTCAGTTGAGGCCGTTGGAGGGAGCGTTGGACATCGTGGAATGGTGGGTTGGGCCGCGGCGCGTTGCGCACGTTTTATAAGGTGGTCAATGCCTGGTGCTGAACGCTGGTGGCCCGTGTGGCTGCCTAGAGATTTTGAAAGTGATCGGCGAATTTTTGGCGATGCCGCACATTATGCAGATTTGGACGATTGGTAGATCCAAAACCCGTCAGGTTGCGTGGAGGGTGTGGCAGTCCCGGCGGCTAGTATTAGCAGAAGCGCTGGCAGCCCGCGGCCTCCTGGCTTTGTCGCCACTTGCAGGCAAAAATCTATCGATGCCGGACATGATCGCAGATCTGGACGATGAGTTGATCCGCAGCCCTTCAAATTATCGTGGGAATGGCAGGCCACGGCGAGCAGGGGCGCGTTGGGCCGCCGAAAGGGAGAAGGCGTTGGCACCTGACCCTGGCGCTTCTTTCTGTTGGATGAACGATATAACAATTCTTCAGTTCTTCGATTCTTCTGTACGTTTGAAAGAGTAAGGGTGTGTTATTCTCTCCGTGGTTCCCACCGCACGCTGCTGCTGCGGCTCTTAAGGGCGGCCAGAACGCCAGCGAACGCCTCGCCATGGTTGGCCGGGCCCGGGTCTTCCCAGTTGTCGGCGCCGTGTTTGCTGTGCTTCGGCGGTGGGTCCCGCAACCGGGAGTTGACTCGTCAACAGCACATGCGGCGGTTGCCGCCTATTCTGACAGGCACCAGTGAGAATGATTCTGGCATTATTACATTACGCCGGCGCTGTACCGGCAGATGTCCACCGTCATTTTGAGGTTTTAGTTTCTGTCATTCCCGCCAAACCCCGCCTCCCCCGTGCTGTGCTACCACGTCCGTGCTGTGCTACCGCGGCGTGGAGCAACGGCAGCCACTGGTCCGAGCGAGACGCCGCGCTCCAAGGACAGGCACGCGCGGCCACCGGCCCACGCCCGCGAGTCGCACGGCTCCCTCCCCGCCGATCTGCCCAACAAGAAGCACCGCACGGGGCAATCCAACGACGAGGTCTGCCCCCCTGCCCCCCCGCCACCCGCCTGGCCCGCCGTCCGCATCGCCGTGTCCCGGTGCCGAGTGTTCTCACTTCTCGCATCGCGGGTGGCAGATTGTGGATGATCAGCGGCTGCTGAGGGCGAGCAGGGAGATCGCCCGGCCGAGGCTGCTGCCCATGGCCGACCACTAGGCGTTCGTGTTCCCGTACAGGCCCTCGCCACCGTACAGCCCGCCGCATAAGGTGCGCCCCCGGCCTCGCCTCACCGCACAGCCCGATCGAGACACCCCTGCCGCCGGTGGCTGACGGTCGCCACGTGTGTGCGTCCGTGATTGTGCAGGAATGGTACTACGTCTGCGAGCTCGGCGACAACCTGTCCTCACGGTGTAAGCGCCAGAACTGGTGGTTTCTGTGCCTGGGAAGTGCTGCCCCTGCAATTCTGGGCATGAGCCTATGAGTCGCGCCTTTGCCGTTTGGACGCAGACAAGGTGCTTGCGAGGATCGGAGAGGGTAGGCGGTTGAATAACAACGCATGACCCATGATCTAATGCAGAAAGGATATATGGTGAATGGTAGCCTGCCTGGCAATGCGGTAGAAGTTGAAAGCCCTGGCTGAAAGTGTGTGGAAATCGCCTGACGGATAGAGGAGCAGCCTTGTTGCTATGCATACTTGTTTGATGCATGGATACATGGCATTCATGGTGGCTTGTGCAGTGCAGCTGGAGGTGCTGAACACACTTCAAGTAAACGACCCTGAAGGGAAGAGGCAGGTCATCAGAAGAGACACCCTTTGCGTTGTTCAGCAGGCTGTACGCATGCATGTTGTGATTTGGCTGAATACTGTGGGTGCTGCTGTTGCAGGTACTGTATGGGCACCCATGAATGGTTTGATTGCCGGGGACATGTGCGCAAGGTGAATGTCCTTCTGTGCTGTGAAGGAGACTTGATGCATCCAGATTCCAGCAAGGTGTTCATTGTTGTTTACATTTCCTGCTAGAATGTGGAGGTGTGAGCATGGTTCAGAAGTCAAATTATGTGGGGATGTTTGCTGTATGGCTGGTGCTCCTTAGCATTGATCAAAGTCATTGTGCTGTAGCCATGTGCCATTGCGTTGGCACTGTGATCGTATCAGTGCACTGTTCATCTCAATCTCAAAAACTTTTCCAGTTTTTGTAGTCATGCCACAAAGACTTGTGCCACTTGCTTCCAGTCTGCACACGCGGCAAGCTTGTCTTTTCACAGGGAAATGATCGAAAAGGTTTCTTCCATTTTGTCCTGCAGGATTTCGAAAGGCTTGAGCCAGCCTGTACTATTTCCTGCAGCAGATTGACTGCCATCCAGTTTCCATTCCTGTGGTGCAGTTGCTGGAAGCCATTGCATACATGCAGTAGATCAAGCTCATACACACAGACCTGAAGCCTGAGAACATACTGCTGGAGCGACATGGGGTAGAAAAGGTCGGCAGCACCCCATCAACTGGAGACCGCTGTCTGCATCATCGCAGAGTCGCAAGGTGGTTCTATCTCAGAGCACAACCAATGCCAGCCCAGATATTTGTACTTGCACTTGCCCACCGCCACGTCTTGCACAGATCCTGGAGGATGTGTTGTGTCTGCCTGCTGTGGAGGATGTGCCCGCTGATTGTTTTGAAGTTTCATCGATTAGGGTTGCAGTAATCAGCAAACGGCAGGGTAAGGTTGTATTCATGGCAATGTTGCACAGTTTGTTGTGTGACATGTCAGGGAGCTGGTGTGTGCTGACACTGTGCAAGTGTGTGTGACAGGTGGAGAGGTGGTGACGGCGAGGATGGTGTGGTGATGTCGACACAGGTGGTGGCCACCCATGGGCTGCTGGTCCAGTATTGCATGATGGTGCCAAGGCTCAACTAGGGTGGCAGTCTGGCAGGCATCGGTGCAAAGGAATGGTTAATGGGAGTTGTGTTGTCACTGCATTCATAATAGATAGCTGCTTAGAGAACTGAGAGGGAGATGATTTTATGGGTAGTTGCTTGGCCAGAGATATGGACGCAATTTGATTTGCAGTTGTTGTAAAATCTGTAAAACAAATCGTTTCAGAGATTGTGTGCGCCTCTCGTTGACGACCGTACGCGCGCATTGTGAGCGCCACATATTCAGCATATGGTCATATCCTCGTTCATATCCTCCCATATCCTTGCCATATCCCAGGATATGGCCGCCCATATCCTGGGATATGGCCATATCCTCGTCCATATCCCTCCCATATCCTCGCCATATCCCAGGATATGGGCTCCCATATCCTGGGATATGCCATATCCTCGTCCATATCCCTCCCATATCCTCGCCATATCTCAGGATATGGGATCCCATATCCTGAGATATGGCCCATATCCTCGTCCATATCCTCGCCATATCCCAGGATATGGGAGCCCATATCCTGGATATGGGCCGCCCATATCCAGGATATGCATATCCTCCCATATCCTATTCGATATCCTGGATATGGGTGAGGATATGGGCGTTTCCATATCCTAGGATATGTAACTTTTTTCCGACGT